GTACAAGACGCGAGAACAGTCCGCTATTTAGGTTTGTATGGACTCACTAACTTTAACGTTAGCTAGTTTTAGCCAGAGATACCTTGCTAAAGCACAAGATGACATTAACGTTCTGCTTGAGCAGATGAAAATTGTAACTTAATGAGAGTATGACAACCAGAAAACTAACGTTTTTGTCTTCATTGGGATTGGAGGTGAATGCTTTGGGACATTTTGCTCCATTTTGTTTGGGTTTAGGAAATAGAATAAAATAAATTCCATTGCATATCCTCTCAGGACACCTGGAACCACTGTTACAAGTTCCTCAGGCACATCGTTTTTCCATTTTTTAAGCATAAACCCCATAAAAACTGATGCAAGCTTCGGATCTTCCAATGTTTCTCTATGCCGCTGAAACCTACAGATGTCCGAGTTCCGCTCCCCGTGCAACTGATACTCCACTGCCATTGGCTCATCTGCGTTCGAGGGGAGGGGCTTGCCGATAGGTCAATTCTTAATTAAATCAATCAACTGGGGAAAAATGGTGATACTGTTAGTTACATTCTTAACCCTATTCACCTGTAGTGTCTTGCCTTAATTCATCTTCCATGTCTTATTGAGACATCTCATAATCCAGCAATCAAAACTGGTAAAATATTTGTTTTCTGGTACATTTTCCCAGCAGACATGCTCCAGACCGAACCCTTCCCCATCCGCAGACGCTGCGGCCGCCATATGAATACCCGGCATCCATTCATATTCCCCCACCGCCGCCGGTGCCGCAGCAGCCGCGTTACCTTGCCGAAGGAACAGATTGGTACATATGTATTCAGTGACTTCATAAACTAGTACTCTGTTTGGCTTTGATTGACTGACGCCGTTCCTGTGTTCGCATCCAGGGATCTGAGTGTGGATCCAGGCCTGCCGCAGTACCACGTCTCTCCCCTCACTCAACATTATCAGCATTACCTGACCTCTCCACGACTGCATCACTTCCCCAGGAACACCACCTCGGCACAAGTGGTCAGTCTGAGTCTTTCGTACCCACTGCAATCCTTCATATTTACATTCATGCACTTGACAGATCCTTAATCCAAAGTAACTGACCAGTTCTTGCCTTCCATTGGTGTTGCTAGTGCCACTTATCTCTTTATTTACTTCTTCATTGGTGCTGTCATGCACAGGTTGTCCATGAGATCAGAAACTACCCTTATCCTCAGTTACATCTGCTGGCTCTCCAAAGCCTCAGTCCGTCTCGCCATGCGTCTGCTGTGCGGGAGAGTTACGAGGTACCGTCACACTTGGTGTTCTTTATCACACATCTTCTTAATCATACATGTAATGTGACGTGTTTACATGCGGTTTTGATTCCAGGAGCTCCTGCAGTTGGAGGACAGACTGGGCAATGTGAACAGAGGGGCTGTGCAGACCACCATCGAGAGGTTTACCTTTCCTCATAAGTATAAAAAGGTAAAACCACAACTGTACAATGACATTTAAAAGTTCCTGTCAAGACTGTTGTGTGTCAACATTTGTTACATCCTTGAATAATTATATTCCTTATCCTCCTGTTGTGCTGGGGTTAATTACTTGAAACTACTTCTTGGAATTTTGTGAGCTTTTCCTCAATGATCATGAATTTTCTCTTTGGTCGTGAGTGTGCATGAAGATTCGACATTTAGTTGTGCTTTGGAAAGGCTGTGCAAATTTTGGTTACATTGATGTGTTGGAGTCAAACTGAGCCTCAATGGGTTTCCATGCAATTCACCAAAAATCAAGATTCTCGATGATCATGAATTTTCTCTTTGGTCATGAGTTTGCATGAAGATTCGACATTTAGTTGTGCTTTGGAAAGGCTGTGCAAATTTTGGTTACATTGATGTGTTGGAGTCAAAGTGAGCCTCAATGGGTTTCCATGCAATTCACCAAAAACCAAGACTTTAAACAAACCTACACCATTTTAAATATGGATTAAATATATGGATATGATGTGGGTTTTAAGGTGAAGGTTGCTGGAGAATTACTGGACCTTTTATTCATTCCTTGTTGAACCTGTAATTTATGAAGTGTAAGTTTCTTTTGGATTAAAAAGCATGTGCTAAAAGACTAATAGCTAATCGTGTGATTCGTAGAGAAGACCTCTAGAGCTGAAGATTGGCATGGATGAAGAGGAGCTCGACACGGATGAGAAATGCACAATATGCCTCTCGATGCTTGAAGACGGAGAGGACGTCAGGTAGTTTGACGCTCTACTCAAAACCCGTTCAATGGTGAAAATGGTGCCGGTTATCATTCAAGAAATGTTTTGTTTTTCTCTCCCTAGGAGATTACCCTGCATGCACCTCTTCCATCAGGCTTGTGTTGACCAGTGGCTGGCAACCAATAAGAAGTGTCCCATCTGCAGGGTAGACATTGAGACGCAGTTGTCCCCCGATAGCTGATGTCTCATGTAGCACTAGCTAAAAATCCTGTCGTCTTTCTTAGTCCCCTCGTGGGCACTTTGCCAAATGTGTGTCATCTCCATCACCTCTCACCTCTGACCTTTGCCTTCTGAGCCAACTGACGATGTAGAACGGGGAAGACGAAAAGCGCTGAAGACAGAGTCCAGCACATGGAGAAGAACGAGTCTGTCGATGAAGATGGTTTCAGTCAAAGTGCTGTGAATGTGTGTGTGTGAGCGCGTTTGGGATGGTGAACACTACTCGTAACGTCTCAGAATGATCTCGGATGAAGACCGACCAAATGTTCTCAGTGTTCAGTAGGTCACGGATGAAGCATTACAGCATGAGCACCACAAAGTCCAACATATTACACGTGGTTGGTCATGAACGAAAAAATTGACCTTTATGACTGGTTTTGTGGTCCAGGGTCACATTTGTGAAAAAAAAGTGTAAAAAAAACGAATTAGCAAATGAGAAGCGCGCAAGAGTAGAATAATGACCCTGTGTTTAAAAAAGCTCTGTCTGTGATTATCGGAGGTGATGCTTGACGTCTGTATGTAACCGTAAGGCCAGGCTTGATATGAACCGTGACAGTCTGCATTTTGTGCTCGTGACGCCTCCGACGCTTAGAAACGTATCCACCACCAAATGCATGTTGAAGCGAGAGGCCAGGGTTCTTCTGACGAGAGGTCGACGTGCATGAGGATGTTTCCTGCGTGATACTCTACTAATCCTGAAGACACTGTGTTCTCGATGCGTCTCCGAAGTCACCACGAGTGAAATATGTACCTTAATGCCTGTAGCACAAGCACACGTTGAATAGTAACGGCATAACTCGGTGTTTCCATTCGCCCTGTGACTCGTGGTCTCGCTTGGTCGTTCAGCAGCATCTGTAGAGTCATAATGTGCATGAAACCTGTTTGCTGCCATTTCTAGAGGACATGACAAGGGAGTAAAGCCATTTGTTTTATAGAAACCAAACATAACTTTTCTAAGCTGTTCTTCATGATCACTCTTCCTCGTTTGATTTCTTCTTTTTCCTACTGTTGCCAACCTGTGTGCGGGGCTGGTACAGCTTCTCCACATAAGTAGCTGCAATGCTGGAAAAAAACAAACAAGCTATTTATTGTCGTCTTAATGTAGTTAGTGGTTATTTTTGTAAAAGCACTCACTTTCTGATGGGGTCGTGTGATTGTCTCTCTTTCCCTGCTTTTGCATTTGCACTCAGTTTCCTTGTGTATCGTGCACTCCATCCCAAAAAAAAAAGAAACAAAACAAAAAAAAAAAACAAGAGAACAGACTTTTTAACAGCACAGTTTCTTTGCGTAATGATAGTTGTTGCCTCACTGACCACTTTCAATGTACGTGACTGTTTATCCGTAGCATTTCAGATGTCTTTGTAGTACGTTTGACGAAATAACCTGCTTGTCTTTGCTGTCGCAACTTTTCCGGAATTCAAGCGTTCAGCTGCTTGGAAGCCAGGAAGTTGAAAGCGTTTACTTGTTTTCAATCACCGTTTTGTAGCGTGTCAGTGAGCGTATGGAAGCCCGTTTCCACCACTGAATAAAAAATGAAAAAAGTTTGCGACTTTTTATCTTACAATTCGGACTTTTTTTCTCATAATTGCGAGTTTGTATCTCACAATTTTTGTCTTTTTTTTTTCTCATAATTGCGAGTTTATATCTCGCAATTCTGACTTTTTTTCTCGCAATTCTGACTTTTTTCTCACAATTGCAAGTTTGTATCTCGCAATTCTGACTTTTCTCGCAATTGCAAGTTTGTATCTCGCAATTCTGACTTTTTTTCTCAGAATTGCGAGTTTCTCAATTTGCGAGTTTCTCGCAATTCTTGACTTTTTCTTGCGATTGAGAGTTTATATCTCGCAATTCTGACTTTTTTTTCTCAGAATTGCAAGTTTGTATCTCGCAATTCTGACTTTTTTTTTCTCAGAATGGCAAGTTTGTATCTCACAATTCTTTACTTTTTTTCTCATAATTGCGAGTTTATATCTCGCAATTCTGACTTTTTTTCTCGCAATTGCAAGTTTGTATCTCGCAATTCTGACTTTTCTCGCAATTGCGAGTTTATATCTCGCAATTCTGACTTTTTTCTCACAATTGCGAGTTTCTCAATTTGCGAGTTTATCTTGTAATTCTTGACTTTTTCTTGCGATTGAGAGTTTGTATGTCGCAATTCTGACTTTTTTTTTCTCAGAATTGCAAGTTTGTATCTCACAATTCTTTACTTTTTTTCTCGGAATTGCACGTTTATTTCTCGCAATTCTGACTTTTTTTCTCGGAATTGCAAGTTTATTTCTCGGAATTGCAAGTTTATTTCTCGCAATTCTGACTTTTTCTTGCAATTCTGACTTTGTTCTCGCAATTCTTTACTTTTTTTCTCAGAATTGCAAGTTTGTATCTCGCAATTCTGACTTTTCTCGCAATTGCGAGTTTGTATCTCGCAATTCTGACTTTTTTTTTCTCAGAATTGCAAGTTTGTATCTCACAATTCTTTACTTTTTTTCTCGGAATTGCACGTTTATTTCTCGCAATTCTGACTTTTTTTCTCGGAATTGCAAGTTTATTTCTCGGAATTGCAAGTTTATTTCTCGCAATTCTGACTTTTTCTTGCAATTCTGACTTTGTTCTCGCAATTCTTTACTTTTTTTCTCAGAATTGCAAGGTTGTATCTCGCAATTCTTAACTTTTTTTCTCAGAATTGCAAGTATATTTCTCGCAATTCTGACTTTTTTTCTCGCAATTCTGACTTTTTTTCTCGCAATTCTTTACTTTTTTTCTCAGAATTGCAAGTTTATATCTCGCAATTCTTGACTTTTTTTTCTCACAATTGTGAGATATAAACTCGCAATTGCGAGTTATAAAGTCCAATTTTGAGAGGGGAAAAAGACTATGTTCTCAGAATTGCAAAAAAAAGTCAGAATTGTAAGATAAAAAGTCGCAATTACCTTATATTCAGTGGTGGAAACGGGCTTCCATAGTGAGCGTCCGCTGTGTAGAGCGTGATCTTTTCTCATCGTCCGTCTGTGTTTTATAGTTTACACGTTATATTGTGCGTCGAAATGCCTTAAGTATTTAACAATCATAATTTATGACTAACTTTACCTACTAGGGTGCGTATTTAAGTTCTGAACTAGTATCGCAATGTAATTGGTCGGTTTATTTATTTGCGTCAGCATAACCTGTGTATAAATACCTCATTGTGCTATACTTTAATGGGAGTGCTTTGCATGTGGTTGTACTTTAAGGGGCGTAAGTGTCATTGTTTTGCATGTCTCTCCTGTTTTTGCACTCTCGGCTTTGCTGGCCTCCTGCGAACATCGTCCGCTCGTCTCGTCGCTCTGAACCGAGCTGAATGTGTTTTCAGTGTTTTCAGTAGTGAGGAGTGAGTTCAGCGCTTACTGTGATTGATTATAGCTGCTTGTCTTGTGCCCATCTGTCTTTAACTTTCAATTACAGCCGGCCATTGTATGCTGTATTTTTAATCGGGATTTAAAGTGATGCTTCCTTTTCCCACGAGTAGCAGATTTTCTTTACGTATCGGTACTTCATAAGAGGGGCTTTAAATGTCTGAATGCAGGTCGTGTTGTGGTACATTCTAGTGTAACGTTTGTCATATTTCACAGGTTATTTAGCTTCGATCCCCCAAATAATAATCTGCCAATACAGTGTTGTGTTTTACAGTAGAAAACACTAATGTTGACTGATGTGGCAGATAACTCTTTTTTCCGGTGAATTAAGTGTTTTTCCTGCCATGCAAAATGATATACTCGTTATCTACTACACACTTAGAAATTGTTATGCCGAAATAGACAAAAAAAAGAACAATGGCTTTATATTTAATGATTTGTGTTTCTAGCCTGTGTAGCCTTAAAGTCTCTTGATTTGATCCATCTCTCCAGCAGATTTTGGACATAAGCAATAGTAGTATATGTTTCGCTAACAGACTGAACCGTAGATCCTAAAGCACAAGCTCTGTAATGCATGTCTTTCTCAGGTTTTAATACGCGTATGAGAATGGATACATATGTTAAAATATTTTACCATAAATATTTCTGATGTTTTTCTGCTGCTGACATGAAAAGAAAAAAATAGTTGAATAACCTGCCAGTGAAAGGGAAATGGCTCTTTGTATAAGACACTGCTGTGTGCTGTTACTGCGCAATGTTTTCTGACATGAATATTTTATAGCTCAAGTAGAAAAATATGTATTGATAATATTTAAGCAATAGCTTGGTGATTATAATGTATGATAACTAGATACGTGTATATTGCGTAAAAAAAAAGATTAGATTCACTTTTGGTGGATTTTGTACTGTATTTATTACTAATGATGATGCAAAAAGTTGCATAGCTTAACCCAAATTTTCTTTTTTTAATTTCTCGTCTTGTATATGACCCTTTTTGTATGTGTTTTTTCAAATAAAATGTTGAAAATGCCTCAAAACACTTTCCTTGTCGTTCCAGGCACAGTCACATGTCAATAACTGCGAAGTATTGAGGTTCAAAGCAAGCAAAAAGAAATGACTCGCATTTCACACATATTGCACCACAATGATTCAAATTCTACCATATCATGAAGTGAAAAGTATTAAAAATCTAAATGTGTAAACAAAGCTCGGTGCAAAAGAAACACCTGTATTTTAACACTGTAAGTGTGTGTGTGTGGGGAGGGGGGGGGTTTAGGAGAATAAAGAAAAAAGTAAATTAAAGAAATATGCTTCTCGAAAAACGTACAGTCTTTTACCGTTAAATTCACGGTAATTTTTTACAGTGTAAAAAACCCAGTGAACCACCGCTTTAAACAATGTGACGTCAAGTGCCAGTGAAAATTTGTGTTTGAAGGCACTTACCATGAAAACTGTTTCAGACCGGCTACGAAGTCACCACATTTCTAATGATTTAAACCATTCAAGGGGACTGGGTTTTAGATAATCACATTTAATGACTGCTAACCACTAATAAGTTTATTTCTCTGCAGAAATGGAGTCATATGTACATAAAATAATGGACATTTATCAATTAATTTACTGCTCCAACACACAATTTGAGGGTTTGAGTTGATTAAAAAGCTAAAAATGTCAAATTAACAATCAAAATGAAACATTGTATTTGTTTTCTGGATGTCGTGTCCATTAACTGACATCAGCACATCAAATTATTGAAATATTAACTTTAAATCTCAGAGAGACTTCAAAACACTTTATTTCTCAGTGGTTTGACAAAAAACATTACGAAGACATCTTCGATAACATTTCTGATGGTTTAAAACAAGTTCAAGGGAATTGGGTTTCAGAGAATCGATCACATAAGAGTACGTTTACATGACAACAACGTGGAAAAAAACGGA